ACGGAGGCTGTACTAGTTTACACTCCCACCAACAATGTAGAAGTGTTCCCTTTTTGCCACATCCTCTCCAGCATCTGTTATTTTTTGAATTATTCAAAAGGTTCTGCTGAGTAGCCTAGAAAGTTATGAGTTAAAGTTAGCACTACTTTGTAAATATATTGACAGATCCCCATCATCCCCTTTTTTATACTTCCCCCCTTCTCTAGTCATGTCTCACACTCAATATTTTGGGTACTATGTAGTCTCAGACCTCTTTACCAGAAGTTTTGGGAACATTTCTTTTAGGAAGAACTTTTTAGGAAACATTTAAGTAGTTAATGGCAGAGCTTCAAATACGTGATATTTAGTTTTTGTGTATAAAGAAGTGTATGTATGTATGTATTATATTTTTTGAGGCAAACATTTAAGGTTTTGGTTTTACAACTGACCTCAAATCAATGTTATGTATAATTCACATAGAAATGTTACTGAATAAGGACATTAACATTGTGGTTTTACATAATGGGTTCATTTGGAACATTATGTAAGATTGTGTTTCTGAGAAAATTAGCAATTACTCGGAACTTTGTGTGTGGTGACAGGGTTGAATAGATTTGAAAATATATATGAGAAGGGAAGCATATCTCTGTATCTTATTTTCCTTTGCTAATGAGTCTGGATGGGGAATAGCAAAGTCACACAATTGACACCCTTCTTTTTATTTGTTTGTTTTTTGATTCAATGTCTCACTCTGTCCCCCAGGCTGGAGAGTATAGTGGCACGCTTGTGGCTACTGCAACCTCAACCTGCTGGGCTCGTGATTCCTCCTTTTCAGCCTTCCAAGTAGCTGGAACTACAGACATGCACCACCACACGAAGCTAACTCTTTTTTTTATGGTAATTATAGAGACAATGTCTCATCATGTTGTCCAGGCTGGTCTTGAAAGCGTGGGCTCAGGCAATCCTCTTGCCTCAGCCTCCCAAAGTGCTGGGATTACAGGCATGAGCCACCACGCCCTGCTACACTCGCCTTTATTCCTACTTTTGAAAAGTACTGGGTTGTCAGTTTTATCATAAATTTGGCATTTGGATTACATGGTAACGTAATGAATAATTTTTAGATAGGGAAATTCCTCAGTTTCTTTAAATGAACTGTGAATGTCTGTCCTTTGAGGGCTGAACTGGAAGTCCAGGAACGAACTGGAAGATATGATGCCCCCCCTATTTCTGGACTGCTGCAGTTTAGCAGACATAACCTCTGGTGCTGCACTGACTGTTGGAAATCTATACACAGTATTTTTTTTTTTTTTTTGAGTTGGGGTTTCACCCAAACTGGAGTGCAGTGACAGAATCACAGCTCACTGCAGCCTCTGCCTCCTGGGCTCAAGCCATCCTGAGTAGCTGGGATTTCAGGTGTGCACCATCACACTGAGCTAATTTTATTTCTTATAATGATGAGGTCTCACTATGTTGCCCAGGCTGGTCTCAAACTCCTGGGTTCAAGCAGTCCTCCTACCTCAGTCTTCCAAAGTGCTGTGATTACGGGACACGAGCCACCACACCTGGCTACATTCTTACTTTTTTTTTTCTTTTTTTAGTCAGAGTCTCAGGCTGGATTGCAGTGGCACACGCACGACCACCAAGAGCCTCGACCTGCTAGATTCAGGCGGTCCTTCTTCCTCAACCTTCCAAATAGCTGGGCAGCCACCACGCCCAGCTACATTTTTTTATTTGTTTGTTTGTTTGTTTTATTTTTGATTTTTTTTTGAGAGTCAAAATCTTGCCAAGTTGCCTAGGCTGGTCTCAAACCCCTAGACTTAGACAGCCCTCTTGACTCTTCCTCCCAAAGTGCTGGGGTTACAGAATGTGAGCCATTGTACCTGGCCCACGTTCTTATTTTTATGTAATTATACTACGATTTGCATTGGGTATTAACATAAGCAAGTTGATGATACTGACTCAGCAGGCTGAGTTGTCAGGCTGTAGTGTACTGTCCACTAACATTACTTAATTGCTTCTTTTTTTCCTGGGAGGCAAAATGTAGGTGAAAATAAATGAACAACATATTTTGAAAATTTGTAACTTTTTTTAAAAAGTAAAGATTATATTTTACTACATTCCTTTTTCTAAGACATTTGAGGAAATGCCTCCTCAACCATGACTATTCTTTTATTTTTGATCCTTGTGAATTTTCAAGTATAGGTATTTCTTAGTGAACAATTAGATGTAGTTAGTGAGCTCATATGGTGTATTAATTGAGTGTATAAGTGGTCCTGTTATTAATTCTCACAACAACCCTGTAAGTCACTATTCCTACTTTCCTTCTTCATAGATAAGAAAACTAATATTGGGCTGGGTACTATGACTTATGCCTATACCCCCAACACTTTGAGAGGCCAAGGTGAGAAGATTGCTTAAGCCCAGGAGTTCAAGACCAGCCTGGGCAATATAGTGAGGCCTCATCTTTACAAGGAAACATTTGCTGGGCATAGCATCACACATCTGTAGTCTCGGCTACTTGGAAGTCTGAAGTGAGGCTTGCTCTGGCCTAGGAAGTCAGGGCTGCAGTGAGCTGTGGCTGTACAGCTGCACTCCAGCTTGGGTAAAAGAGTGAGATGCCAGCTTAAAATAAAAATCAGGACTTCAATGACTGTTTAATACAGTGTATTAGCGTTAACGTTTCTCCACATCTTCACCAATACTTCTGAGCTTTTGTCTTTTTGACAATTACCATCCAAACAGATGTAAGATGATATCTCGTGGTTTCAATTTGTATTTCCCTGACTATTAGTGACATTGAACATTTTCTCATTTATCTGTTGGTTATATGTGTGTCTTTTTTTGAGAAATGTCTTTTCAGGTTCTTTTCCCCTTTTTTAATTGGTTGGTTTTTTTGTTTTTGTTTTGCTATTAAGTTGCTTGAGTTTTTTGAGTCAAGGTCTTACTCTGTCATTCAGATGGAGTGGCATGCTCACAGCTCTCCACGGCTTTGTCTTCCTGGACTCAGTGATCCTTCTGCCTCAGGCTCCCAGGTAGCTGGGACTAGACATGCACCACCATGCATGGCTAGTTTTTATTTTTTATAGAAATAGTGTCTTGATATATGTTGCCTAGACTGGTCTCAAACGCCTGGGCTCAAGGAGTCCTCTTGTTGCTAGAGCTTTTTATATATTTTGAATATTAACCTTTATCAGATGTATGGTTTGTAAATATTTCTTCCATTCTGTAGATTATCTCCTTACTCTGTTGATTGTTTCCTTTGCTGTGCAGGAGCTTTTTATTTTTAGTTTGATGTAATCCCATTTGTCCACTTTCGCTTTTGCCTGTGCTTTTGGGGTTATATAAAAAAATCATTGCCCAGATCAGTATCATGACGCCTTCCCTGTTTTTTTGGTAGTAGTTTGGCAGTTTCATGTCTTACACTTAAGTTCTGTTTTGTTTTGTTTGAGACAGAGTCTCCGCTCTGTTGCCCAGGCAGGAGTGCAGTGGTACGATCACAGCTTACTGCAGCCTTGACTACCTTGACTTAAGCAATTCTCTCACCTCTTTCACCTAAGCCTCCTGAGTAGCCAGGACTACAGGCACACACCAATGCATCCAGCTAATTTTTGTAGGCACAAGGTCTCATTTAGGTTGCCTAGGATGGCCTCAAATTCCTAGGCGCAAGCAGTTCTGCCAGGGCCTCCCAAAGTGCTGGGATTACAGGAATGAGCCACTGTGCCTAGCAGTAGCTTTTTTCTTTCTTCTTCTTCTTCTTCTTTTTTTTTTTTTTAAAGAAATTGACACGTTAATTGCAAAATTAATACTGAAAGGCAAAGGACCCAGGACAGCTTTAACAATTTTGAAAAAGACAAAAATTGGAGAATATGTATTATCTCATTTCAAAACTTTAAGAGCTAGAGAAATTCACACAGCATAGTATTGGCACATGATAGATATGTAAATCAATGGGTACACAATCAGTTTTCATAAAGGTAACA